GTACCATCAAAGAGTGCAGCATCCCTACAAGCAAACATTGGAGCAATTACAAAGCTGAGGCGAGAGCACTGGAAAAAGCGTTATGCCCATCAAAGAGTACAGTGATCTGAGTGGATCATTGGCAAAGTGTCTGTGTCTGATCGAGTGGATCAAAACAAGCCTGGTTATATCGGTGACGAATGCCCACTCAGGATTGTAAGCAATACAAAACAATAAGCAAATACGGTTCAGCAAGATGAGATCTCTGTTGAATCAAGTGGATCACCTGAGCTGGCCGAACAGTGGGTCTTCAGTGGATCCCAGGCCACAGCAACATTACGAGAAAACAAAGTACAGACAGCAGAACTTGGAAACATTTCAGAACATCTAGAAATAGGACGCAGAAATGAGGAAAATAAAAGTCAAACAAAGCAGCCATTAGAACCCATTGTAACACTTACAGTCCAGAAAACAAGTCTGGCGACTAATCGGTGTTATTAGTTCGCCAACTGGACACAACAGTCTTCACAGCAGTACCTATAGGAAATTGAAGCTTAGCACTGGTCTGGTTCATCTGATTGTGTTTTTGTCTTTAATGCAAGAGCTATGCTTTTGTGAACTTCATAGTAACATGTCTTTAATGCAAGAGCTATGCTTTTGTGAACTTCATAGTAACATGTCTTTAATGCAAGAGCTATGCTTTTGTGAACTTTATTGTAACATGTCTTTGATGCAAGAGCTATGCTTTTGTGAACTTCATAGTAACATGTCTTTAATGCAACAGCTATGCTTTTGTGAACTTCATTGTAACATGTCTTTAATGCAAGAGCTATGCTTTTGTGAACTTCATAGTAACATGTCTTTAATGCAACATCTATGCTTTTGTGAACTTCATAGTAACATGTCTTTAATGCAAGAGCTATGCTATGCTTTTTGAACTTCATGAACTTTATAGTAACATGTCTTGAACTTCAATGTCTTTAAAGAGCTATGCTTTTGTGAACTTCATACTTCATAACATGCTTTTGTGTCATTTAACATGCATGCTTTTGTGAGCTATGCTTTTTGTGAACTTCATTGTGACAAATGCGCGTTTTAATTTTCAGCTATTGTGTCATAACAAATGTAATTTATAGTTTTTTGCGCCATTTTGGCAAATGTGCAAGAATATGAAGCAGACTAATGACACAGCCGTCCTGTGATTTGCTGACGTTCAGTATCAATGCTTGTCAGTAACTGGCTTGTGTTTGTTGCCTCGTGTTAACAACTGGATCCTTTGTTGTGATTCTTTGGCTGTTCTGTGAGTGGCTTTCAGCTGTCCTCCCTGGCAAGCACTGGTCACAACAGAGATGCTCTTGCAGGAGATACACAGGTACTTACCCTAGCTAGAGTCTTGTGTTGCATTCCAGTAGTTTTGTGTTGGTTAAATATCATGAGGACATCACTGCAGACTTAGTTAGAATTGTGTCGTTTTAGAAAGCACGGCGATATAAACAAAGATTTGATTAGAGTTTTGTATTGTTAGGGACCTTGAAGCCATAAATAAAAATTTGACTAACGTTTTTTTCTTATTAGTGACCTTGAAGCCGTAAATACAGATTTGAATAAAGTTTTGTATCGTTAGAGTGTATGACAGTACTGCAGACTCGACTAAATAGATGTTTATGTTTTATACAGATTTTCTTTTGTCGAAGACTGTGATATTACTACAGTTCAGTGTGCAGCTGCAGACATTAGAACATATACAGACTGTGGCTATTGGACTCACTTTTTGGATACGCAAGGGACACACCTGTTGTGTGTCTGAGACATACCCTGGGTATGCCGGCTGTTGCAGATAGATATAGCACACAGCAGGCTGGGTACTATCTTAGAGTTGCAGATAGATATAGCACACAGCAGGCTGGGTACTATCTTATAGTTGCAGGTAATATAGAACATATTATCCTGCATAGCGCATTGGACACTGTGAAAGGTGACAGACTAAAGAGGGACAGATCCTGGACGACCCAGGCTGATAAGACAATCAGCAGGGTCTGCAACATGTAGGAGATTAGCCATGTAGAAGAACGGTGAAGGTACCGAAGGTCAGAGAAAAGCTGAACAGGATGGACAGAAATGCAGGGAATGGGCGGCGGAACGTGCAGCCGCGAAGTTTCAACAATTGACAGAGGACAACTCTAGGCCAGGTTCTGTGTTCAAATGTTGATGGTGTTCCGCAACTTCAAAAGGCAGCGGTGATCTCCCGCCTGTGGCATGAGGTTACAAGTAAAAGCGAAGATACTGAAAACCAGTACCAGAACAAATATGATGTTCCAAGGAATGTTGGTGGGTTGTGGGCACTCGTGGCAGATGACAGTGAGTACCATCAGTGTGGAGACTCTTGGCTGGCTGTTGAGAAGGGAGACGGAGCTTACATGGGCTTGTCCTGAATGTTGTCATGTCGAATCTTTACGTGGATAACCCAGAGGAAATAATAAGGGAACAGCTTGTGTTTCAAGTGTTTTAATGTTAACTGCAGTTTAATCAGCAAAAGTATTTACATTTCTGACTTGAATTTTATTTTTAATAGAGAATGAATACTAAAACTATATAGATGCATGGTGCCTTGCGGTGTTTCCGGGATGTGTGTTACAAGACAAAATATTTGTATGAGATCATATGGATGAGGTGAAGAAGTGATGAATAAGGCTGGAAATCTGCCATAGAAAAACTATTGAGCTTACCGCTTCGCAAATTACTTTTTTCTAATTCAAATAAATAGACAGAAATCATCCATTAAGCAGATGTAACACTTAAATTATATGCAAACATTTAGTTAGATGTAAACAGTGACAGTTTTTTGGATGGGAACATCAGCTTTACAAATTATTGATAACTGAGAAACCTGATGGCAAAAAAGAACACAGGGTGAAAGACAAAAACGAATACTTATTTTGTTCTTGTTATTGTTGTTTTTTTCTCTCGCCTCCTTCATCCCTTTTCTGCTTCTTCCTTCTCATACTTCTTTATTTTTCAGTCTTGTCTTTTTGTTCTGTTTAAATGAACTGCAGTTCTGCATGCTACCATAGGGTTTGAAATTCTGCGATGTTTTTGTCTGATTTTCAAGTCACAGACTGTAGGCTATGCGTGTTCTCTGTGATTGGCCAACAGTTGTAGGACTCGTGCAAAGTCAGATGCTGGACCGCATGTCTCTGTTGTTGTAGAACTTTCTGTACAACTGCTAGTTTAGGTTTGCGTGTCTGCCTCTGAGTCTCGATGTGGAAAGTAACACTGAGTAGGTAAAAGACTTTCTGAGATCACAGCTGTAGCTTGATGTGGGACAGTATCATGTTTGTCTGTCTACATCACATCAGTGGACAATTTTCTTGTGCCAGTCATCCTCTTTGGTTAGTTGATCAGTCTTCACAGTCTTCTACAATAGATACATGTATCCATGCGTGACATCAATGGGACAGTAAACCTTGTAGCTTTGGGTTCTAGCTAGACTTTTGTGTCTTCACATTGAAGAAATATGGTGAACTTCTAGACGCAACCTCAGTGTTAGTTACTGGAGTATCAAAGGTTCTAGTTCACTTTCAGTGAAGCGTGTCCCTGCTGCTGACAGGATGTGGCTTCTGCTGTTACTAATCTAGCCTGTAGATGTGTTCTTTACCATCTGATAGTGTTCCCTTTCTTCATTCCCCATGTGGCTTGCACCACATGTCATGTGTAGCTGCAGTTGTTGCAGACGTTGTGGTGTTGTATGATGTAACCAGTGTTATGTGAACTATAGCTTTCGATTTTTATGTTGTCTAGTGTGTTCTTCTATCTTTCTACTTCTTTCTATGAGTGCCGTTCACAATACTTTCTGTTACTTGATTAATTTATAATATTTAACGGCTTCAAATGGTTCCCCCCTCTGTTTATTTATGTGATGTAGGCAGTGTTATGTGATGTAGGCAGTGTTATGTGATGTAACCAGTGTTATGTGATGTAGGCAGTGTTATGTGATGTAGGCAGTGTTATGTGATGTAGGCAGTGTTATGTGATGTAACCAGTGTTATGTGATGTAGGCAGTGTTATGTGATGTAACCAGTGTTATGTGATGTAACCAGGGTTCTGTGATGTAACCAGTGTTATGTGATGTAGGCAGTGTTATGTGATGTAGGCAGTGTTATGTGATGTAGGCAGTGTTATGTGATGTAGGCAGTGTTATGGGATGTAGGCAGTGTTATGTGATGTAGGCAGTGTTCTGTGATGTAGGCAGTGTTATGTGATGTAGGCAGTGTTCTGTGATGAACCTGATGTTATATGATGTAAACTGTGTTGTGTGGTGTTTTTTGTTATTTTTACCTTGTGACTTTCACTCCATGGCATGAAAGTGGTTTAGATTCACAGGACTGGTTGTACGTTAAGTTGTACCACCATGCAGCTAGAACCCAGGTTACCAATTTATCAAATAATGAAATATCAGATATATAATTCCTGTCACAGTTTGTGCTGTAGTGAGTACTTTAAACAAAAAAAATATAAGCCAGACCACAGTCGCTCCTTGATACATGTGTCCTTGGCCGCTGATTAGATTAGTTCCTGTACTGTCTACAAATCCACACACACACACACACACACACACACACACACACTCACACCGGTCAGAAGGGTTTCTTAAAAATGTAACTGCTTTTTTACACAGGTAGAGATCAATATTTCACCTTAATGGCTGCGTTGTGATTTAGTTAAAACTGATGCACGGGCTGCCAGCCTTATTCATCATCTCACCGAAACCATCATTGGTAATAATGCTTGCTGTCTCTGATATGTTATTGTGATTTACATTTGTTGAAATAGAAATTCAATTTCCCTTTTTAGTCTGCCCAAGTCACTAGGAAACACATAAGGCACACACAAAATTAAAGAAGTTGCGATTAGCTTTTTTTTTTAGGTAATTTTTTATAAAAGCTTTATCTGGTATATTCGCATTAGACTCAAATGACTTAGTGCCATTCGGTTGAATAATATTTTCATGATTTGTTTTCCAGAATAGAGCTGTTTTGCCAGAAGATTCAAGATTTTGGGGTCCCAGAAAACATGTCGTTTCAGACAGACTCCTTGTATGAGAAGACCAACCTGCCTCAGGTGGTTGCTGCCATCAGGAACTTTGGAATAGAGGTAGTGAACGTGTTAGCAACTGTTTCACAATGTTACAGGCGACTGCATGTAGTGGTCTCTGTGGTGAAGTGATCCAACTGTTTGACAATGTTACAGGCAACTGCAGGGAGTGGTCTCTGTGGTGAAGTGATCCAACTGTTTGACAATGTTACAGGCAACTGCAGGGAGTGGTCTCTGTGGTGAAGTGTTCTAACTGTTTGACAATGTTACAGGCAACTGCAGGGAGTGGTCTCTGTGGTGAAGTGTTCTAACTGTTTGACAATGTTACAGGCAACTGCAGGGAGTGGTCTCTGTGGTAAAGTGATCTAACTGTTTCATAATGTTACAGGCGACTGCATGAAGTGGTCTCTATGGTGAAGTGATTTAACTGCCAATGTTACAGGCGACGGCAGGGAGTGTTCTCTGTGGTGAAGTGATCTAACTGTTTGCCTCGCTCTATGAAAAAACATGGCTATTAGCTTCAGTTTCTAGGAGCGAACGAACGAAGGAACTTTAGGAGATCCTAGGGGATCGTAGTTGGAGCTTTGGAGTTTGTGCATTGCCCAATGCTGTTGGCGAGTGGCTAGCAGGGAGAGACCAAACCTTCTGAGATAAGCTGTTGTAATAAAGTTGATGATCATCTCGACTTTATCTTTATCGGCAAGGTAAGGCTCGCCATGCTCTTGCGCGAGTCTTCAGACCCAAATGTCATCGCTGTACTAAAGATGGCCAGAAGTGGAGAGTCCTCGATGCGATAGAATCTGCCCAAATGCACTACACTCCAAACCGACCGTCGAGGCCTACTCAATTGGTGGTCAAAGGCCTCAGCCAAAGAGCGCCGAGACATGGTGACAACGGTGAGGGACAACGAAAACGAGGTTCGGGTCCAGAAAGCTGCCCAGCAGTCGCAGCAGGGCCATTAGGTCAGCCTGGAGAGCGCATTGCCAAGAGTACTCACATGGGGTGAGATCTGGCGGATGACCCGCTGCGACTGAATCGTTCGTTCGGCGTACGATGTATTACCGTCCGGTGTTAACATGGTTAAATGGTCTGACGATCCGACCTGCCCGTTGTGTAAATCGAAGCAAACTCTTGGCACGTCCTGTCCGCGTGCAGGAAAGCCTTAGGTCAAGGCCGATACACCTGGCAACACAACAAGGTGCTAAAAGAGTTAGCAGCCGTTGCTGACCAGGCTAGATGAGGGCTAACGCCAGAGCCAGTTCTAGTATCGTCCCCAAGGCTGGGCAGGTTCCAAAAGGTAAGGTCAACCAAAACGCATTCGCTCCATCTGTGCTAGACTCTGCGAGGGACTGGTTACTGGCGGTTGATCTGCCGGGCCATGAAGGTACCCCGAGTTGATCCGTAAGACCGGCCTGCGACCGGACATAGTTCTCAACTCTGCGCAAAAAACGGCAGCTCATCCTGATTGAGTTAATCGTCCCGTTTGAGTCGCGTAGAGAGGAGAATCACATGTATAAGCTCTACAGTGATTTAGCAGCCACGGTCTGAGGAGAAACGAGGCGTCCACGGTACGGCGGTCTTTGCCGTCGAAGTGGGAGCGAAGGCCTCGTTTCCACTTCGCTCTGCAATGTGGTTAAAGAACTAGGATTGCGCGGTAATGAACGGAAACGAACATTCAAAAAACTGGGAGAGGTAGCCGAAGGGTCTAGCTGGCTTTGGACGCAACGCAACAACGTAAGGGACGGGCCTCAGCTGGTTGTCTAGTGGAAAAGGGTTTCTCACCCCTTGAAAGTCCATCGTGTCCGAAGTGTCTGCCAGTGTTCCTCTGCCAACTGCTAATAAAAGTCCAACATGTGTCCGGTAAACCAAACGTAAGCTTGTCGCTCGGTCGTCCAGGCACGCCGACTGTTCTAATTAGGCTGCCGCAGCGACTTCTTATTTCACAGTACCTTCTGCAAACCACCAAATCGTCTTGTCTCTGGCCGAAAGAAAAACACCATCCGGTAATTTTGTGCAGCAGGGAACCAGCCCTGAGCTTCATGAACTCAGGTGGGCCCACCTCCGAATGCGTCTAGGAATCGTGGGCCGAAACGCGTGTGGACGAGGATAATTTCTACTGATGACTGGTAGATCCCTGCTGTACTTGCTCCCTGTGAGTTTATTCCTATTACTGATTGTGTAAACAAAACTCATCCAACAATCGTATCTATTTAATAGTTTTAAATCCTCGACTAGTTAGTGCTAGTTCATACATGAAAGTTCTGTTGATCAGTCAGTATTGTTGAGGATCCACCAGCTGGAACTCCGTGGTGGTATGTTGGTGCAGGCAGGAGAATACCAGTGATTTCAAGTCACCTGTTGACGGAAGATCACAGGTTGAGAGGAAGTCACATTCTCAAAGAAAAGCACATCGTAAGAGATAGCCATATTCTGAAGGGAAGTCAAATCATAAGAGAAAGTCACATTCTGAAGTGAAGCCACAGGTCGAGAGGAAGTCACATTCTGAAGGAAAGACACGAGTTGAGGGAAAACCACATGTTTAGAAAAAGTCACATTTTAAAGAGAAGCCACAAGTTGAGAGGAAGTCACGTTCTGAAGAGACGCCACAGGTTGAGAGGAAGTCACATTCTAAATGGAAGCCACAGGTTAAGTGAATGTCACAATCTACAGGGACGACACAGGTTCAGAGAAAGTAACGTTCTAAAGGAAAGCCACAGGTTGAGAGGATGTCACATTCTACAAGGAAGCCACAGGTTGAAAGAAAGTCACATTTTACAGGGAAGCCACTGGTTGAAAGTCACATTCTACAAGGAAGCTACATGTTGAGAGGAAGTCACATTCTACAGGGAAGTCACATGTTGAGAGGAAGTCACATTCTGCTGAGAAGCCACACTGGTTGACATGTTACTTATATATTAAAGTGAAGCCACAAAATAAAGGACAGTCACATGTTGAACGGCAAGGACAAGATTTCAGGGAGACAGTTTTTACAGACAGAACCAGAATCTTTGCGAGACAGTTCACATTTTTACAGATAGACTGGACACAGTCAACGTAAACGTAATGAAGTAAAATTATCTGTATAAATGGTATATTGAGTCGCAATCCTGAGAAAATAGTACAGAAAATGACAGCTTACTTTACTTGATTAAAATGCTTGAATTAACCAACAGTTGTCATGCTCTAGAGTAGGACAACATGTTGTGTGATGCTCTAGAGTGGGACAACATGTTGTGTGATGCTCTAGAGTGGGACAACATGTTGTGTGATGCTCTAGAGTGAGACAACATGTTGTGTTATGCTCTAGAGTGGGACAACATGTTGTGTGATGCTCTAGCGTGGGACAACATGTTGTGTGATGCTCTAGAGTGGGACAACATGTTGCGTCAGGCTCTATAATGGGCCAACACGGTGCATCATGTTCTATATTAGAAAACATGGTGCATCATGCTCTATATTAGAAAACATGGTGCATCATGTATTATAGTGGGGCAGTATGTTCTGTGGCAGATAGCAACCACAACATCTTTACCATGCTTTGCTTTCCTCGTCTTCAGGCAGAATCTCGGCCCGGCTATCGTGGAACTAGAATCTGGCCCAAGAAGTCGGAGGTGAACCTGAGGAACTTCAGTGAAGAACAGCTGAGGGCTGGAGATGGCGTCATCAATCTACAGATGGGCAGCAACAAGGGTGCTAGTCAGCGGGGCATGACTTTCGGCAAGAAGCGCATGATTACAAAAGATTAGGAGCAAGGATAATCCTGGACAGCCTTTGGGGATTAATTATGATGATGTGTCTTCCGTACTTACTGGCTTTGAAAATTAAAAACATATTTTGTGAGCATGTTTGATGTGCTTAAACTTGTGCTGCTATTTTTGTCTGGTTGTAGAGGAGAAGTCTAAAGGCAAGGCACCTCAAGAGCTTGTGTACTCAACATGTTTTGTCATGCATGACTGTTTCTAGAGAAGTCTGACGACCGAGGACAGCCTCTAGCAACAAGTGTGTTGTTGTCTTTGGCCACATAAATTTATATTTATGAATGGTGATTTCTGGGCCTACTTGCTGTGACCTTGTTCGTCTCAGACCCACATTTTCCATTGATATGGGAGCTGAGTCGGCTCTGTGGCTAAGTCGATGCGAACGCTTCGCTTCGTAATGCCGGGATGCCAGGTTCGATCCCAGCTGCGGGCAATGCGCCTTGTGTTGGTTTCGACAGTGGTATCAAGAAAGCCGACCGTCCAGAAAGCAATGGCAAACTACTGGATGTAAATTGCCAAGAGAAACCACACAACAGCCAGGGGCTGGGGGTTGGTTCTGCAACGTCCTGTAAAGGATACGCAACTAACTTTTATGGGAGCTGAAGGCCCCTGTCGCCTATGGTGTTACACTACTACAATGATCAGCCATTGTGCACTTCAGAAGTATAAAAGAAAGTCAAACAGTCAACATCCCTTTCAGTAAAAACAGTAAAAAGCTCCATAAAGTATATTGAAAATAATACATGTGTGTTGTTAGCAACAGATTTTGTTTTGTTTTAGAGTAAGCACCATTGTTAAATTCCGCTATATTAGTGCATTTTATGTAGATGTTTGGTATTATGAACTTCGCGTGTGTAAGTTGATTCAGAAATATTTATTGCTAAGAAAAACCCTTTTGTTTTTTATTCCATCAACAGACGGTCGACTGTAAACACATTGTGTGTCTTCTCGTGTTAGGCTTGAATAATTGTCCTAAAGACTGTCGACTGTAAACACATTGTGTGTCTTCTAGTGTTAGACTTGAATAACTGTCCTAAAGAAAGTGTGACTGTGAGTTTCATGCTGTTCTATGACTACCACATGAAAGGAAAATGTGATTGCTGTAGCTATATTTTATAGTGTGTGGCAGGGACTTGTTTGAAATTAATGAGACATCACGCTGATTTATGTGAATGTTGTCACACACAAATGCAGTGGATTTCTAGTGAGGCTGTTATGGAACCAGTCCCAGTTTTCAGATCTGTTAACCCTTGTGGTGTCATTTATTTAATTCATTGTTTTCATTGTCCTGTCATGCCATCATATGTCACACAGGGCTCGCGGTCAACTCCTCCTTTCTGTTGTATCCTGTGCAACCACATATTTCATGCCACCCCCCCCCCCTTTTTTTTCGTAATATCTTGAATCCGCGAAGTTAACCGGGTCAACAAATGTCGCAGCTTCGCTGTAAACAGGCACAACGCAATTACATCACTTAGAGGAACGATACAAGAAATTTTGAAATTGTTCTTACTAATGTTATATATATATATATATATATATATATATATATATATATATATATATATATATATATATATATATATAATCCCTGGCTAGCATTACCCACCAAATGCCGATTGGTCTATAAAAAATACAAGTCTAACCCTATATGCCCAATACGCCTAAAGGTGTTGAAAAGGGACTTTTACTTTACTGATATATTTTTGAGGCCCAGCTGAACATATTTACCATGTCTACAAGCGGCCTTGTACCGGACCCTGTCGTAATGTTCAGTGACCCTTGGCTGCTGTAGGTCCTACAGAGTGGTGTGATGGCAAACCTGGACACACATTCAGTAGCTGTTCGTGGATTGTTAGTGGAAGCAGTGGCAAACTGTGCAGTGTTCTCTCTCTGCTGGATGGGAAATGTTCAAGATGTGAATGCCTGACCCAGACTGCAGAGTCCAAGGGGAAGGAACTCACAAGATCCTGTCAGAGGAAGTAACTTGCGCTTTTGAAGAAAATGCCTCACAGGTGAACTGTCTGATTCCATTTCAAGTCAATGCAGATGGTCGGGAATGGATAGCTGTGATGTGCATAGCGTTTCTTTGTCACTGCCACAAACCTGCCACAAACCTGCCACAAACCTGCCACAAACCTGCCACAAACCTGCCGCAAACCTGCCACAAACCTGCCACAAACCTGCCACAAACCTGCCACAAACCTGCCACAAACCTGCCACAAACCTGCCGCAAACCTGCCGCAAACCTGCCACAAACCTGCCACAAACCTGCCACAAACCTGCCGCAAACCTGCCACAAACCTGCCACAAATCTGTATGGTTATATTGCCTTAAGCGTATGTAGGTCTTCAGCAGCGAACATGTGAATGGACTGGCTGATAAGATGCTTATGTTGGGCAGGTTTTAAATGCAGAAATTTTCAGTTCTGGAAATGACATGAAAAAGACGACTATTTTGCAGTCATACAGCTGACATAAAGCTTACATACTAGTATGAAATCAGCAGCAACATGGTGAAGTGTTACCTTCAGTACTCCAGTTAATGCATATATTTCTTGTTGGTGAATTGTTGAAGCTTGTGTCTTCGAGCCAACGCATGCCTTGTCAGTGTAGTAAATGTTTTTAAGATGAAGTTGTTGATTTCACTGCTTTTTATGGGACAGTTTCTGTGATCACATGTTATGTTATGTCAGTTTGTTGCTTGTTTCATGTTGGTGTTCAGGTATTGTTGATGTAATGTTGATTTGTAATAGTGATGCAGATGTGATGTTGGTGTTCAAGTTTTTTTGATGTAATGTTGTTTATAATAGTTTTGCTGTAACTGTAATGTTGGTGCTCAGGTATTGTACATGTAATGTTGATTTATAATAGTGGTGCCGATGTGATGTTGGTGTTAGACCGAATGTTACCTTCGCATAAATTTCACCTTCTTTCGCAATAGCACCCAGACTGCATGAGGCATTATGCTATCTCCAACATCAGATAGTTCTGACATGAGGCATTATGCTATCTTTAACATCAGATAGCTCTGACATGAGATATTATGCTATCTTCAACAGCAGATAGTTCTGACATGAAACATTATGCTATCTCCAACATCAGATAGTTCTGCCATGAAACATTATGCTATCTTCAACATCAGATAGTTCTGACATGAGGCATTATGCTATCTCCAACATCAGATAGTTCTGACATGAGACATGCTATCTTCAACATCAGATAGTTCTGACATGAGACATTATGCTATCTTCAACATCAGATAGTTCTGACATGAGACATTATGCTATCTTCAACATCAGATAGTTCTGACATCAAACATGCTATCTTCAACATCAGATAGTTCTGACAAGAAACATGCTATCTTCAACATCAGATAGTTCTGACATGAAACACGCTATCTTCAACATCAGATAGTTCTGACATGAAACATGCTATCTTCAACATCAGATAGTTCTGACATGAAACATTATACTATCTTCAACAGCAGATAGTTCTAATATGAAACATTATGCTATCTTCAACAGCAGATAGTTCTGACATGAAACATTATGCTATCTTCAACATCAGATAGTTCTGACATGAAACATTATGCTATCTTCAACGGCAGATAGTTCTGACATGAGACATTATGCTATCTTCAACAGTAGATAGTTCTGACATGAGACATTATGCTATCTTCAACGTCAGATAGTTCTGACATGAGACATAAACACTGATACTGACTTGCTCTCGGGCCTTTAAAAAAAACTATACAACATAAACACAGACAGATAGAAACAAATCAAGAATGACATATCTGCCTTCCAGATAATGACTGAATGTCTCTCAATGTTACGCCATAATTACATGAGACACACTTGTACTGCAGCTGTAGGCTAGATCTCGGCAATAACTACACTTCAAGTACAAGAGACAGACTTGTACTGTAGTTGTAGGCTAGGTCTCAGCAATATCTACACTAAGTACAAGAGACATAATTGTACTGTAGCTGTAGGCTGGGCTTCGGCAATATCTACACTTCAAGTACAAGAGACAGACTTGTACTGTAGTTGTAGGCTAGGTCTCAGCAATATCTACACTAAGTACAAGAGACATAATTGTACTGTAGCTGTAGGCTAGGTCTAGGCAATATCTACACTTCAAGTACAAGAGACAGACTTGTACTGTAGCTGTAGGCTAGATCTCGGCAATATCTACACCAAGTACAAGAGACAGACTTGTACTGTAGCTGTAGGCTAGGTCTCGGCAATAACTACACTTCAAGTACAAGAGACAGACTTGTACTGTAGTTGTAGGCTAGGTCTCAGCAATATCTACACTGAGTACAAGAGACAAAATTGTACTGTAGCATAGGCTGGGCTTCGGCAATATCTACACTGAGTACAAGAGACAGACTTATACTGTAGTTGTAAGCTAGATCTCGGCAATATCTACACTGAGTACAAGAGACAGACTTATACTGTAGCTGTAGGCTAGATCTCGGCAATATCTACACTAAGTACAAGAGACATAATTGTACTGTAGCTGTAGGCTAGATCTCGGCAATATCTACACTAAGTACAAGAGACAGACTTGTACTGTAGCTGTAGGCTAGGCTTCAACAATATCTACACTTCAAGTACAAAAGACAGACTTGTACTGTAGCTGTAGGCTAGATCTCGGCAATATCTACACTTCAAGTACAAGAGACAGACTTGTACTGTAGCTGTAGGCTAGGTCTCAGCAATATCTACACTGAGTACAAGAGACAGACTTGTATATTAGATGTAGGCTAGGTCTCAGCAATATCTACACTAAGTACAAGAGACAGACTTGTATATTAGATGTAGGCTAGGTCTCAGCAATATCTACACTAAGTACAAGAGACAGACGTGTATTCTAGATGTAGGCTAGGTCTCAGCAATATATACACTCCGAAAACAAGAGATAGACTTCTACGCTAGCTGTAGGCTATGCCTTGTCTGCTGCTGACGTTTCATGCAGATA